ACTGCTCTGTTCGCTTTGGAAATGTACCAGCAGAATGAGTTTCTTTCAGTGTCACTACAGGTTCCCCTCGCTTTACGGTGTACACGCATTCCTGGAAAACAGCGCATAACTCAAATTCTCATAAAGGGAACCCACTTTATAATGTAGCAAATAGGGATATGTTGTAAGTCAATTGTACTGACCCTCAGACTCATTTCTACCACTTTTACAAGACAATTTTGGTACTCGCCAACAGCAGACAGTACAGACAAGCACAGGCCACTATCATAATGGGGATGGCAACTATAGAAACATGTCACAGACAACGAGCGAGGAGCACAGACCCACACAGGGGACTATATTTTGGTGTGCACCGAACAAAGCAACTGACTGGGCTTCCAGCACACAGATCACATAAGGGTGAATTTACCTCACATACAATGAATTTTTCACATAGAAAGGGTCATTGCATAAGAGTGAATTCACGCATACAGAACCTTCATAAAACGAGGGAAACCTGTATTACAATTCCTACAGACTGCAGTAGTTCCTATAGGGCCCAGTTTGAAGTAGAGCCCATTGTGTATATAAATCTAATGAAAAGATAATCCATAACCTAAAAAAATTTGCCCTTATTTTCAAAGTGCTCAAGAACCTATGCCCTAGCTAGCTAAAGATCACCTAAAGCTCTGGGATAAGGACCATGGTCAACAACCTCTTCCTCAGGCACAATAAAGATTTCTACTGCAAGTAACTAGTTTGTGGAGGAGCCAGAGCTTTCTCAGGGGCAGGGCTGGCCCATCCCATCCTGTGAAACTTGCAGCCACAGGGGACCCTGCAGCCAAGGGGCTGCCAGCAGCCATGAACCATAGGCGGCAGAAGTGGGGGGCTAAGAGGGCTCAGCCACCCCAAACAGGGCAGCAGCAGGCATTGCCTTAGGGCAGCGTAGACACAGGAAGCTACAGCAGGGAGGGGTCCACACACTCAGATACACTTCACTTGCAGCCAGCACTGCAGCTAGCCTAGCTGCACGCAGGCGGGTAAGTTTCTTTTAATCTTTCTTTATCACCCTGGGCTTGGGGGATGGGATCAGACTGAGACCCCCCACAGTGCAGGAGAGAGTGGGTATGGACAGGGCAAATCATTCACCCGTGCCCTGCTCCCTATTGCACTGTGGGGATTGTCCTATGACCTGACCCAGCTCCCATTCACCATGAATGGAGCCCCAGCTGGGTCAGGTCATGGGACAATCAGAGCCTGGCAGCTCTTCCAGGGAGCAGGCAAGCGGGTCCTCCAACTGCGCGCACCATGGGGAGCCAAGAGGAAGGGGAAAGAGGAGTTCCAACCAGCTCCCCCATGCCACGCCCCTGGATGAGCTACCAGGCTCTGATCGTCTCACAACCCAGCCCAGCCAGGGCCCCATTTACAGTGAATCGGGCCCTGGCCAGGCCAAGTCGTGGGACAATTGGAGCCCAGCAGCTCCTCCAGATGCACAGCACCAGACAGCCAAGGCTATCAGGAGGGCATGTCCCCCCCCCCCCGATCTTTGCACGGGGCAAGGGTGGGCTACAGCTGTGAGCTGCACTCTGCTCCTTGCCTCCACACCTCACTGCCGCTCCTTCAAAAGCAGCGCGGCACAATGCCATGTGCCTCACTGCCTGGCAAGGAGCCCTCCGGCCTGGTGATGCAGCCAAGGCTGGCCCCACTCTGCCCCCCCCCCCCAGGCAGTGCACACCCAGGGCCAGGAGGCGGTTGGAGCTGGGGCCAGTGTGACCAGAGCCAGGAGGCAGCCAGGGGCAGGGCCAGCAGGACCAGGGCCAGGGCTGGTACAGCAGCTGGGCCTGGCACAGCTGGGGCCAGGAGGCAGCTGGGGCGGGTGCAGCACAGCACCAGGCAATGCTGCTCTCCACCCATGGCCCTTTACCCTTCCCTCCACAGACTTTCCCATGGGGGGCATGTGCGCATGCATGCTCAGCCCCCACAATTTTTTCTTCCTGTGCCCATGCTGTGAACACTCTGGCACCACCAATCCATGCTGCTGCCAGCTTCGGCAGCTGCACACCTTCCCCCCCCCCAACGGCTTCTTTGCATCAGGGAGCCCCAAAATTATATTTTGCAGGAGGCCCCAAAAATGGTGGGCCAGCCCTGCTCAGGGAATAGTTGTCTGTGGATAGGGGCCCACAGGAACTGAGGGCCATGAAAATCCTCACCAACTCCTGCTCTGAATACAAGGAACGTCTGCTTTTGACCTTCTCTAGTATGAACATACAGCAGCATGTTCATGTTTAAAACAGTAAAACACTTCAACAAATACAGGACACACACCATGCTTCACCTGAGGAAAGTACAAGGGAAAGAACTATAGATGAGCATCACACACTATGGTGATGAGGGCAGTATGAGAGAGAGAACAAAAATATATATAGACAACCCACAAAGTATCTGTCAGACGGCATAATACCCATATAGTTATAAATGTTCTTCATTCATAAATCCTATGTTTCTGGGAATAAAGGAAGGTATTCAGCTTCTAGACGTAGTCTGCAGCAATGGGCACTGTTTCTGTCTATGTAAATAGATACACATATAAAGGGGAATTGTTTCAACTGTAAACGACCCCACTGGTGACAGCTTATCTTGGCTGCCACGCTAGCACAGGACTGCAACATCTAATTACTAAAATGTGTCTGAGTTTTTTTGTTACCAAAAGCAGTTTACAACTGCTTACAAATGAAAAGCTGCCTCCTTAGCTAGAAAAGATGCTTCCTTAGCTTACGAGAAATGAAAAGTGAATGGGTGGAAAATATTGCTGTCACTCCACATATCCTTCCCTCCCTTCCACAACCTCCCCCAGTGCCTTGTGACTGGGGTATTTGGGTGACGTAGTAGGAGTTCAGTTTAGGTATTCAAATAACTCCATGATAATCAACTATGAAATTATTGGCCTGCAGCTATGATTGATGGGCAAAGGTTGATTGCTAGATAGAATCATCACCAAGAAGTGCAGAAGCGATCCAAGAGCGATTACTAATAGGGTGTATTAGATCCGTTTCAAGGGAAAGAAGAGAATTTCTCTCAAAGGAGAAAATCTTTTAATAGACATGAAAAAGATCATTTTGCACTCTGTATCTTCATCTTAAGGATCTAGGATATTTACTAGATATGATCTTTTATATTAGCATAACCCATGTGATACTGGGAATTCAATTTTGCCCAAATTCTGTCAGTTTAAATGGGATGAAGTTAATTTGCTCTGTGCCATATTATCCATCCATTAATGGTCTGGTTAAATGTTTTTTGCAAACCCAGACTTTAAGTGCTTCAACAGAGTTTAAAAGCAGAGGTGCTGTAACCTGTCTTGCTATTTTTTTTTATTTACCAGTACTTGCTTGGATACAAATATATTCTTAAAGAACAGTACCACTATATTAACACCAGGTCAGAATTTATAATCACCTGATAAAAACAGAGATGTGACAACCAATCTGGAACAAGCAAACTGCTTGCTTAAATCTATCAGGGGTTGATTTAAATTAAGCCAACCTAAGCTACTCATGAAGTTAAAAAAAATCCCACAATGCTCTGTATTAATTTAACTAAGTCTGCTTAAAACCAGTTTTAACTGATGTTATTATTATTTGGTAGAGCAGAACTTTATTTCCATTATAGAATAGCTGTCTGTAAAGTATATAGATTTCCATGATATTTGTATTTCCAACTATTTGTAGTGCTAAGTCATATCTGCTAAGAGACTCAACTACAAGAACTTTGTCTATTACCAGATATTTCTTGGAGCATTCAGATCCCAGGGTTTTTCTTGGCAGTCTACAAAAAGGTACTAGAGATCACAGTAATGATACCAAGAAAAATATAACAAGTAGAAATTCAGAACCAGCTGGGTTATGTATGGTAATAAGGCCACATCAATTTTTGGTTTAATATATAGCAAAAATTTATGTGGGGCAGTTTTATACACAAAGAAATTAAGATGTGAGATACTGAAAATTAATATCCCCTTCCCTTCTGCCCATGTTTTGGGATAAATATTCTTGGTGAAAGGAATCTTTTATGTAATTGAGTTCAATATTTTGAAATGTGGGTTTGCTGTTTTGCCACTAGGTGGAAGCCTTACTTGGTGTACCTTGTGATCTAATTTACTTGGGTTTCAGTCCTCTGATTGCTGACACCTCTGGCCTTTGATCCAACAAAATAGGTAGAGGCATGTTTAACCACAAGCATGAGTAAGGATTTAGATTTCACACCTGCTTAAGTGCTTTTCAGGATTGGGACTTTAAGAAGAATAATTTATGCAGGAAATAGGACAGATTTAACCTACAGAACTGTATCTGATCTATGCTTAAGAGCAGAACACTAGAACCATGTATGTTTCATATAATTTCTTAGGGAACAGGAGGTTGTCCTGCTTCATCCTCATTTTATTTAAAGGGCAGATATGGGAAACATTAAATATCTTTGTGTCATTTGTTTTAATAAAATTCCAGCCTATCAAGATTGTATTATTGCTATATACCATGTTGTTTTCCTTGCAGACAACAAAGCATATCCCTTTCTGCTATGGTTAACATATGAAGCAGGTGTGTATGGAGCAGTAGCAATTGAAGACAATGTGAAATTAATGCTCCCCCCCTCTTTCTCCCCATCAGGGTGACAAAAATAAAAAATAAAACATTTGGCTTAGGTGCAGGACAAATAGTTCTGAGTTTTTCCCCGAGTAGGTGAAAGACAGTTTCCTGTCTGCTCATTCTAAAACTAATCCCTGCTCCCTATGAAGTCAATAGCAAAATTCCTACTGCCTTCAGTATAAGTCAAAGATAATGAGCAAAAGCTAGAAGGCTAGACATTCTTTTATTTCAAATTAATTTTAAATTTCTAAATTAAAATTTAAAACCTGAAAAAAGAGAAGAGCATAAATCCTCAGAATTGACAGATATCATCATGCATCCATGGATTTCTCTTCTTTAAGATTATAATCTTTTCACATATTTTATACACAATTTTCATTAAGGTTACAGGAAAAAAAAATGTTTATTACCAATTTCCCCACACATTTTTTAGATTTTATCCCAGTATGCAAAAAGTGTAGATCAAACCAACACTTGGTTATATTTAGATGTTAATAGATTTGGAACTTAGTAGATGCAACCATCTATCCAACAATTTAAAATATAACAAGTTAAGTTGCTCTTTAACATCTCTAATATTAAAGGTCTCACAGAATGAATGTAGGGGGTCTGTGGTTCTTGGATCTGCAAGGTCATGTCTCATATAATCATGTTACACCCAAAATATTAGTATATACTGTAATGAGGTATAATAGGCATTATAAAAAAGACCAATTATTAAACTGAAAATTGCGTTAAAATAATATGGAATATATTTGTTAAGATAAAGTATAAGTAAGCATTTTTGCAAAATTATTTTATTGAGAAAATTATCCAGGAAAACCAGATAAAAGGAAACTAGACAGTTAACTTTAAAGTTACATTAATCTGTAGGACAGTTACTCCTATTAAATATATATTGTTACAATCTTTTTTGTCTATATTAACATCTGTATCAGTGATATTATGAAGGCTATTTTAAATTCCAATTTCTCAGTATTTTCCTGGCTATTTTACTTACAGAAAACACAGAATAAGCTCACATAGTCTTGATAAAGAAAAGTAATAAAGATAAGGCACATTTTAATTGTTTATAATTTTTATAAATTTGCTTTTTTCCTGAGAGCAATCACACTTAGTTATACAACAGAGAAGTGTGGGAAATAATCATCCTCATGGCAGAGGTAAAATTCTCTCTTACAGAATTAAATCCTCTTCTGTTAGTTTCTCCTTCAGCTCTGATTTTTGTTGGCGAAGCACTAAGTCAGGAAGTATCATGTTAGAATACTCTACATTGTAATCCATTCCTGACCCAGATTCTGGTTCTGTTTCAAATGTGTCTTCCATCCCAGATCCAGATGCCTCTTCAGAAAGTGGAAAAATTTCACGCTGCTCCTGAAATGTCTTCATCCTGAAACATAAGACAAAAACGACACTAAGTCTTGCTAAGGACATGCCCTGAGATCTTCCTTACCTGCTTTGAAGAAAACTGGCAATTAAACTGAACTTTACTGAGTCCACTCAGTCTCATGAGCTTAGAGCAGTGCTTCTTAGTTGGTACCCTGGTGTGACTTGAGATCCATCCAGGGTGCCATGCAACGTTAGCACTATTAGGTGTGGAGATATGATTTACAAGATAAGAATCCATAATGTTCAAACCATTATGACCTGCTGTGGTCTTTGTGTGTTCTTTATAACAGAAAAAATACTCTATTGTTTTTCTGTAGTCAAGAATGAAACTAAGATCTGGCAGTTTCCGTGGAGTGCCTTGAGTCTAAAAAAAGGTTGAGAACCACTGGTTTAGGGTGGGGGAAATGAGTCAAGATGATTTATCTCCTAATTTCCCACCTCTCTTTGCCATTGACACACTCTCTCACAATCCCAAATAGAGTCGATTTAAAAAAAAAAACCCAAAAAAACAGGGAATCATTAAATGTTGCAAATTTTTAGCTTTTGCTTAAAATATGAAATATTTTGATCAGCCCTCTTAATACACAAGCCTTCTGAAAGCTTTATTAGTCCATCTACCAGCAGGAGCCAAAAAAAGAGCTTTTTCCCACATCTCACGTGCCTGCTATCCTATGCTGGCAAACATTAATATTTTGAACAGTTTTTTGGCCATTCTCCTCAATATCAAGTAGCCAATACTGAGCCAATTCTCAATGTGAGAAAAGACAAAAAATATAAGAATTAAGGAAACGTAATTAAAAGAAGACTGAATGGCAGGTGGTTTTGGAAAAAAGAGATGGTTCCCAGCTGCAAAGAGGCAAAATGGTACAAGGCAAGTTTACAGCTCCTTCTTCTGTTTTAGTGCCATTGTGGGGTAAAAAAAATCCATTATAGATCAGCCTGTTTTCAAAGAGTAGAAATTTACTTATTACAACCTTTAGTCAAGCCTCACAAGTCACAGATACTAGAGGTCAAGTAGTGTCAATGGATATTTTGTAGATGGAAATGTTAGGATCATTTGGTGTCATATAAAATAAAATAACTGCAATAAAGCCTCATGCCTATAAAAACATGCTACTCAAAACAGAAGGCAGGAAACAATATTTCCATTCCCCACCACCACCACATACAGAGCTGTACAATTGGCTCGGGGTACTGCTGAAGAAAAGATATGTTTAGTTTTCCTCAGATTTTTTTTCTTTGTGACCAGATGCTCTCCCCCTCCAACCTTGTCTTTTGTATTTTCCTTACATTCTCTCACAGCATCTGATGAAGTGAGCTTCATCTCATAAAAGCTTGTGCTATATATCTACTTTGGTTACCCTATATGGTGCATATCTACCCTACCCTCCTCAGAAGCAGCAAGGATTTGTCATCACTGGAAACAATACTGGGCAAATGGGGAATTGACTGACTGAATATATAAAATACTAAACTATATTCCTGTTCATTTAGAGCAGTCGTTCTCAACCTTTCTAGACTCAAGTCACCCTTTGTCAGGCCTGAGGTACCCCTCCATAATTTTTGGAGTGGCACCCCATTTTAAAAAACTAAGTTATGTATCACCGGGCTTATCTCCTTGTAGACGGGGCAGACAATGAAGATAGAGGAGCAGCTAAGAAGGGAGAGCATCAGCCTGGCTTTATCTGCTTATTTCCTCACACCTCACTTATCTCTCCACACTTCCAGTGGCACCCTTCACAGGATTTTGCAGCACCCCAACTGAGAATCACTGATTTAGAGCCTAGCAAAATATGGTCATTGCCTACACAACTATATTTGAAAAGTCCAATTCTTCATCTTGCCTGTATTAACACTTTTTCAAATTAATAAACTTTTAGCAAGGAGAGGAAATTCAAATGCATAATGATCCAGGAAATAAAGCTAAAACTAGAGATTTAAGTGCCTCAGGCTAGACATGTTTAACATTTATTAATGCCAACCCTAAATACTGAAGGAACATTTTATGTACTTACAGAAATGAATCAGCCATAGGAGGGAGGATTCTGTTGGATCCAGCTTCAGGCATTTCAAACAGTGGTCCTTTTTCTTCAATGCAGTTAGACATCCAGGCGTTAGGTCTACATCTTACTCTCTTGTACCTTGCTTTCTGCACCGGAACACCTGATCAAGTTATCATACATTATTAATGTGAATTATAATCAGTCTTAAGGAGTATTTGACTTTCTAAGCACCAGTTTAGAGGACAGCAGTTCATATAGCTGTATTTTGGTGACTTCCCAACCATGAAAAATTGTCTGACCGTATTTTTTAACTATTAAAATATAACAAAGTTAATATTCCAGTTTCTATAATTGCATCCATATTGGCACAGTTTTCAAGGACTAAAGAAATTATATATGGAACAGCTAAATGAACTTTCACAGATTTTATATTGGCACAGAGAGATCAAAAACTGAGAGCATTGAAAAGGCCACCAAAAGAGTAGATTTCACAATTAAATGGGCATCTATGAAATGGACAAATGTAGCATGAGAAGTGTAAGTCCAGTTTTGTGAAGTATTGTGTGTGCACAAACGCAGGTGCATGTATATAAGATTAAAACGTTTCAACCTTCTTTTTTGGCATCATTAATTTAATCTGAAGCCTCATGTAATTCCCTCCTCTTGGAGTTTCACTTTATTCTTCAGGATTGTCTTCTTCTGTAATTACAATTCCTTTTAACCCTGTATATTACATATTAAATCACTCTGCCAGCCACCTGGTGCACATATTTCTTTTTTTAGGGAAATAATGTTCTATAAGTAGCACTATTTCCTCTTCATTTTTTTATTTTGTACTGTTTATATATTTTGAAAAGGCAATAGTAAAAAAATCTTTTCATAATAGCTGTAAAGATATGACCATTCCCAGATTAATGTGTGTGAAAAATTCCAGATGATATTTGTGATGTTAATACCAGTACATATCTAATAAATGCATCTCTCTCATCATTAGAATATTTGTACACAAAACATACATAAATGCTTTTTAAGCTCTACACAATTCAAAAACTAGATATATCTTTTAAGAAATAAATCCAGGATGTCTGTGTCATCATGAATCAACATTTCCTTTTAGCTGTGTTAGCACACTATTTTGCAATTTTTCCTGTTATGAATAAACCCTCTAATTTCCCCATATTTGCACAAGTTTTCTTTTTCCCCAGGAAGCAAATGTAAAGCCATAATATAAGAATTAATTGTCATCTTAAATATGTGACTTATCTTTTTAACACTTTAGAGATTAAAAACATAGCTTGAAAAAATATACTAAACTAAATAGACGGTTGGGATTTAATTGAGGGCAAAATTTGACACAATATTTATTTTTACAAAGTAACATTCTATGATACTACATTCTATCTGCAAGTTATTTAGTGCTGTCTCTCTCCCCCCCCCATGAGAACAACTCAAAAACAGTAAGCACATAAAGGAGGACCATTCTGAAATTTAAAATGATAAATAGTTCAAAGACACAAGATCTGTAGATAACTCTGGTCATATTTACATATTCCAGACACTACCAAAGAGTTGGTTAAGAAATTGATGTAGAATGCCTGAAACTTGCTGTGTTCTTCATTTATACAATCTTATAAAATAAGCTCTAACGGAACATAGTAAGCACGTAAGGGAGACAGAAATTTGCCAAAGGCAGATATTACCACTTGCACTACATTAAGTCTCACCTTGATTTATCAAAAGGGTTTTTATTTTGTAAAGGGTTGGTTTTATTACTTCTGAGTTTAAAGAAGAATATTTGCAATTGAACTTGTTGTAGAGGTTCCTTATGTGGCCTATTCCACATAGTTCAGAAAAAGGATTATAGGAAAAACAACCATTCAGTTTTACCTTGTGCTGTGTATCCCATGAAGAGGATTATACAAACAGCCAGGAAAATCCTCCCATTGCATCTGACAAGAGTCTGCATTTTGGCCTGCATTTCTCTGTGCTCCACCAGCCTTCACCAAGGCTTCGCACTTAGGAAATACAACACAGCAATGAGATCAACTTTAAGACTAGGTTTCCAAAACCTCAAACCCAACCCATAACCTGCGTCACAACTTCCTGACTGACTGAAGTAAGACATTTACAACAGGAGTCAAGAGCCTAGTCCTTCAGTTCTTAATCAGACAAAAATCCCCAGATGTCAACGTAAGTTTTGCTAAACAAGAAAGATGGGATAGGGTCACCAGAGTGCACCATAATAAAAAGTTATGTTATTTAAACGATTAGGAACAGGGAAGATATATTAAACCTGCTTGCTTATGTTTTTCTTAAACATCCAGTACTTGCATATACCTGATTCAAGAGGGATGACGACTTCAGGGAGCTGGCCTTTCCAGACCAATTTTCCTATGATCTTGTGATGTATATTAAGACAAAAAGGAGCAGTTGACATTCACAGATTTTAGATAACTGTAGCGTTCCATTAGGACCAGAAGTAAATTTTCCTCTCTACAACAACTCCTGGAAGCTTTGATACATTCATTGTTTACAGTAATATCAGTGTGAATAGCGAAGCTGCAAAACTCTCATTCTTTGCAAAAAGATGTATTCAAGATTCCTATTCCAAGTCTTTTTTTTTTTGTCTTTTTTTTAAGTGTTTAGAGGGTAGAAACCTTAACCTTCATAACAGGAATAAGAAGAAAAAAATTCCCTAGTATAAAATAAACCCTAGTAGAAATTCTACTAAAAATCTCCAGCTAGTTCCCAATGTCAGCTAGGTTTTGAAACAGAACAATAAGCCTTTAGTAGACGACTACAGAAGCCAGTACAAAACCAAGTTAGTCTGTGCACAAAATTCCAACTACAAGAATTTCCCATAGGAATCCCTGCTTGAGTTCTGTAAGTTAGGGCTGTCCAACCAGCAGCCTACAGGCCACATGTGGAGCATGAGGGATTAATTTGCAGCCCCCCAAGACTCTCACCCTGCCACTGCTCACCACTCCTATTGCTCAAGCTAGTGCGGTTGGGGCCTTCAGCTCCCCCTCTCTCCTCTGGCAACTGCCTTCTGCTCTCACTCCAGGGGGCCTGGATAGTGCAGTGCACAGCAGAACTGTCTGGAGTCTCACAGTTCAGTGGGAAGTGAAGGGGTAATCATGTCCATGCAATGCAGCATGGAGAGAACACAGTACAAGAGTATGGTGGGTGCCCACATGGGTGCCTGGTGCAGCAAAGGTGGGGGGCATTGCTGCAACATGGAGTGCTCATGGCTCACCCTGATGTGGACCACTACTGTCCAGTCCCAACTGGTGCATGGAAGGGGGTGCTGCATGCAGCCCCTGCCAGGTTAGAAGTTGGACAGCCATCATGTATGTTAAAGAAACAGGATCCCTTTATGTAGCATGAGCAGACCGCAATGCAGGCAGATGCAGCAACATTGATTGAACCTGGACAAGACCTGAACTGAGTATACCAGTTAAATGGAAAGTGAGAAAAGCACCTAGAGATAAAGAAAAAGATAAATGAAGGTGGGACTTGAAATACAGGGAGAAAGAGAAGGGGCATGTATGCACAAGAATGGTCCTGGAAGCTCATGAACAAGGAGGGTTTTATTTATCAAATAATATTCTGTAGAGGTTCTATTTCTTGCAGCAATTGAACTATTTTTGACAACTGGTGCTGATAGCTCCTCTTGAGACCTGGCCTCTTCCAACCATGGTTAGACAGGAGGTTGAATAAAACCCAAAACCATTTGACATCTCTGAAGTCACAAGCCTTAAAAGATTCCCATCTAAAGATGTCAGAAAGAAAAAGCATTGTGCAAGGGTAGGAATCTCCATAATAATTAGGAACAAACAACTTTGGAGGAAAACTATAAAGAAGAAGCTTGAAGAACTCTGAATCAGTGCCAAGTCAACAACATAGAACAGAAAAGAAAAAAACAAACAAACACATGATTAAGTTAGTGCCTATTTGCTGGAGTTGGGCCTTAATTCATACATGGAGGAGCCTTGAGAGCATTCCATTACAATTCTTCTGGTGTGCACTCTTCAAATTTCTACAAAGTGTTTTTATCTGGATTCATAAAGGTACAAGATGTAAGTTCTAAGACTTGATCCCTGCTAATAAATGCTCAAGTAGTTAATTGTACTTTAAATATATATTTATTCACCACATGAAGAAACTGTGCTTTGCTAAGCAGGAAATTACTAAAAGGTGCCAAAGATCAGCACATTACTAACAATGAGATAATTCAGAAGCACTGAAGCAATTAAATAGTATTCATCTGCCATCTTCATACAATTTAAAAAGTTGATTACATGATTGACCCTCTAGCATATCAGTGTGTTTAGGGAGCAATTCCACATTCCTAAAGTTGATCTACATGTTCACATGTAGATCAGTCTAATGAAATTGCTGAAAAATCTTACTTAAACACATTTAAATCACTTAAAAATTGGTTATCTATTATCCTGCCTGTAAATTTATAGGGCAAGCTTCAATAGTTTTAAACTTGGCTTATATCAGTTAAAAGAATCCACATAAAAAGCACTAAACCTTGCCAACCTCATCACCAGAAGCAAATTTCCTGTGGTCCAAAGTACACTGAATGGATCCAGACCATGCCAGGACGAGAAATGTAAAACCTGCCAACATATCTCCATCACTCCCACAATAACTACATCCCATAACAGAACCATCACCATTCCTGGATCTTACACCTGCACTTCCAGAAATGTAATACATCTCATCTAGTACACTAGATGCCCTGATGGAAAATATATGAGGAACCAAACAACAACTGTGTACCACAATAAATGCACACCAGAAATCTATCAAACAGAAAAACACCCAGCTACCTGCGGGTGCACACTTCTCACAAGACAACCACTCTCTCCAGTCTCTCAGCTTTAATCCTCAAAGGGAATTTATAAAACACCTTTCGTAGACGAGCCTACAAAACTTACGAGCCTACAGACAAGCTAGGGAATTGGCTTTGAGGTTAGACCTAGAGAGCAGTAGTTGATGGAAGTTAATCATTGCGGTGCACTGTGACCAGTGGGGTCCCCCAAGGCTCTGTCCTTGGGCCTATCCTTTTCAACTTCTTCATTAATAACGTGGACACTGCTGTCAGAAGCAGACTGGTCCAGTTCACTGATGACACCAAACTTTGGAGAAAAGTGTCCACACCCGAAGACAGGATGGTGATCCAGACAGACCTTGAACAGGCTCAGAAAGTGGGTGGATGAAAACCTGATTGGCCTTCAACTCTGAAAAATGCAAGGTACTCCACCTTGGGAAGAAAAATCCACAGCATGCTTAAAGGCTTAGCAGTGCTACGCTTGCTAGCACCATGGCCAAAAGAGACTTGGGGGACATGATTGACCACAAGATGAATATGAGCCACCAATGTGATGTTGCAGTTGGCAAAGTGAGCAAAACTCTGGCTTGCATCCATAGATGCTTCTCTAGCAAATCCCAGGATATCATCCTCCCGCTGTACTTGGCCTTGGTGAGGCCGCAGCTGGAGTACTGCATCCAGTTCTGGGCTCTGCAATTCAAAAAGGATGTGGAGAAGCTTAAGAGTGTCCAGAGGAGAGCCATGTGCATGATCAGAGGGCAGGAAAACAGGACTTATGATGAAAGGCTGAGAGCTACAGGACTCTTCAGCCTGGAAAAGCGCAGGCTATGGGGGGACCTGGTGGCTGCCTAAGTATATAAGGGGTGTACATCAGGATCTGAGGGAACACCTGTTCACCAAAGTGCCCCATGGGATGACAAGGTCAAACAGTCACAAACTTCTCCGAGACCGTTTCAGGCTGAACCTAAGGAAAAATTTCTTTACTGTCTGAGCCCGCAAGACCTGGAACAGACTGCCACCAGAGGTGGTGCAAGCACCTACTCTGGACTCCTTTAAGAGTCAATTGGACTTTTATCTTGCTGGGATCCTGTGACTCCAGCTGACTTCCTGCCCTCTGGGTGGGGGGCTGGACTAGATCTTCTGAGGTCCCTTCCAGCCCTAATGTCTATGAAATCTATGAACTTCACTCCATAAATCTACTGGACACAGAAAATCATGGACTAAATATAGACATTGGATTGATGGTACGTTATAACCTGTTTGACATCAGATAACCCCAGAGCTGCAATTTGCATATTGGCTTCCATTCCATCCAGGAGAGCAAACAAAACACCACCAGACTCACCCTATGCTTGAAGATGGGTATTTGTCCCTAAAAGCTTACAAAGAACCATTTTTCCAACTATTTAGTTGGTCTAATAAAAGATATCACGTTTACCCGAAGAACCTTGACCACCTAAAAGCTGCATCAAAAGACACATCTCAAGTTAGACCAGGGCAACTGTGGATTCAAATTAGGCCTTAGGTGCTTTTGTTACCTCAAAATGAAGCTGTGGCTGAGCTAGTAAGCACAGATATTCATTATGGTAATTTAGTTCTGTGCTGTTGTAGCTCCACTGAAACACCTCAGAAGTGTGGTTCTCCCCTGCCTTTTATCTCATGTAGTCATTTACCCATGGGCTGGGCAAGAGTAAAGTGGTAGGGCAACATTTTATAAACAACTGCAAAACAATTGCTAGAGGTGTAATAGTAAAAAGTTGAAATCAGAATCACTGTTCTTTTGCATTGTCCCAGTTTCAGCTTATGAAAGTGTGTCATTTGCCAAATAATTTTAACCAAGAAAAAGCCTGACTAATTTATTCTATGATTTATGACCTATAATTGAATTCCAAAATCTCAGAACATATTTTTCTGAAGTAGAACAAACAGAGGACCCAAACTTATTGCAATACTTGAGGTATCAGGCTGCAAGGATAAGGATCTCAGAGTAACGAGTTTAATAAAAAGTTTGTGTTGCTTTCAAACCTCTTTCAATAATAAAATAAATTTGCTCTACAAGTTAAATGCATTTTATATATTTCTTACTCCAGATTCTTTCCTCCACATCATACAAAGATACTGAGCATGTTTTATTAGGGAAATTATTTCATTTCAATTCCATCCATTTTTGTTTGCATCCTACTGCCTGTCAGT